CATCTTGATGTTTCGGGACCCCACTTTGGGTCCCGACCCCTACTTTGGGAAACACTGGAATACAGCAAGCATTTTCAACGAAAGAGCGATCTAAATCCTGATTTTATTCATCAGAATTGACTAAATCGTGTTCTTTAATCCCCAATTAAAAATATAGAAATTTGCTAAATTTATTTCAATAAAAGTGAAACCTGCAAAAACACTTTTAAACTTCTGGATCTAGATTAATTTACACATCCATTTCCAGCAACAAATCTGACTACTTTGTTTAATTTAAGTATTTAATGCTTAGTTTATTGTTGAGCAGGTAAAAAGGAAAAATATTTTTGGCCCTCAGGTCCTTCTGACTTCATGATTTCAGCCCATGTGACAAAATGTTTGGACACCCCTGGATTGCAAATGTGAAACACAATGTGAGCCAACACTGSAGAGGTTTTATGGGATAAATTAAACCTCCACAGAACTGATGCACAGTACTAAGATTTGCACAATGAAATACAGGACGTGTGATAAAAGGATGAGAGAGGTCCTACACACCACAAGTGCTACATCAGGAGATATTAAAATGGCGGACAGCAGGAAGAAACTTGGCAAACAGTCATATTAAAACAAAAATATCGTGCAWCAAGACGTGGTTCAAGTCATTTGTAAAAGGCAATTCCACCCAGATGTGATAAACAAACTGGTAGCTTGAAGTTTGATGCATTAAACAGCACATCTCCAGGGGTTAGCATGGGCTACATGTTAGCATAGTTACCTGCTTTGCGCCTCGCTGGGTCTGGGCTCKGCTCCGCTGGTTGTTCTGCAGGGGYCCCAGCACCGTTCTGTTGCTGGAGGCTTGTTTGGGTGGAAGGTTCTCCTGGTTTTCCGAACYAGCTCGGGGTTTAGGCGCGCCTCTGAGCCGAGCAGGCATGTTGTTCTCCTGGTTGGGGAGCTCAGAAGCCGCGCTTGCTTGTCTGCTAACTCCTGACATGTTTGTTCTTTCTTTCCTCCCCGACTAAAACTCCTCCTCACTAAAATCAAAACAACGCTGCAACCGCCGTATGTCGGACCTCAATCAGCAAATAAAAGACGGCGGATGAGTGGAAGTGAGGGAAGACTTTTAGCTGTAATTCAAACTAAACAATCACAACTTGTTGTTGAGATGGCAACAATACTTAGAACTGCAGCGCTAAAACAAATAAAAACAAAACGCGCACATTTGGCAGCAGGTTGTTAATAAGCAGGAAAAAATGAAGATCAAGTTAACATTTTTTTCTTTCTTTTCAGAGTTTAGAATTTGGTTCCAACCCGCAGAAGTAGCTAACCTCGATCCATAGAAGAAACATAAAGCGACGTCGCTTTCTCAGTTCAAGTAGCCCGCGACGATTGAAACCAGCCAATCACAGAACGAAGAGGTATCGACGTCATGTAAGTACGGGAGCCGAGTTGGGGCATTATTGCTATGATTGGAAATTCAAAACCGGTTTGAAAGTGGTCAACTTTAAATGAGACGTTACCAGACACAGTACTACATGAACTCATTTTTCTAAAATCATTGAGTTTTTGGTTTGTTGAAAAAAAATAAAACAAAACTTTGAATAAAAAAAAAATCTTTGAGTTTTTGATTGATATCACACACACACACGTTATATATATA